GTATCTTATAATAAACTCATTTTACTTCGGATTATTTGTCTTTATCGTGTATGAATATATATGATATGACATGTTATTAGTATGTTATCTTTTTTGGTTCTCTATATAGTTTCTGCTACCGCTGCCAATTATGTTGCTCAAATGAATATGCTTCTAATGCTTAATGGGGCAAATTTCAAGCTGTGGAAAGAGAATGTGGAAATTGTTCTCGACTGCATGGATCTCGACAATGCACTAAGGACTGAGAAACCCACTTCCACTCAGGAAAATCCAAACCCGGATAAAATTGAGAAGTGGGAACGCTCAAATCGCATGTGTCTGATGATAATGAAATGTTCCGTTCTGGAGGTGTTTAGGGGCTCGATTGTTGAGACTACTGATGCCAAGTTGTTTCTAAAGGAACTCGAGCAATACTTTGCTCGAAATGAAAAGGCTGAAATTGGTCAAACCTTGTCCAAACTCATAAACATGAGGTATAAAGGAAAGGGAAACATAAGGGAGTACATTATGGAAATGTCTAATCTTGCTGGAAAACTAAAGGCATTAAAGTTAGAGCTGCCCTCTGAGTTGCTCATGTACTTAGTTATTATCTCTCTTCCTGCACAATACGGTCAATTTGTGGTGAGTTATAACACTCAAAAGGAAAAATGGACTCTTAATGAGCTCATTTCTCAATGCGTGCAAGAGGAAGAGAGGTTACAGCGAGAGAAGACTGATAGTGCTCACTTGGCATCAACCTCTCAAGACAAGAAAAGAAAGAGAGCTAAGTATAATGCAGATGCTTTGCCAAAGAAGCAAAAGAAGCAGGACCAGGAATTCACTTGCTTCTTTTGTAAGAAATCTGGACACATGAAGAAAGAGTGTTCCAAATACAAGGCATGTCGCGAAAGGAAGGGTATGACTCTCACTTTAGTTTGTTGGTACTGGTTCTGTGGCACAAGTGTTTAGGTAATATCTCTAAACAGAGAATTTAGAGGCTTGTGATTGATGGAATTCTTGAACCCCTTGATCCGGATGATTTTGAGGTGTGCATTGATTGCATAAAGGGGAAACAGACAAACATAAGGAAAATAGGTTCCAACAGAGCTTCAGACGTCTTAGAATTGATTCATACGGATATTTGTGGACCATTTCCTATAGCCTCTTGGAATGGTCAACAATACTTTATCACATTCATAGACGACTATTCAAGATTTGGATACCTATATTTGATTAGAGAGAAGTCACAATCATTGGATGTGTTCAAAGAATTTAAAGCTGAAGTTGAACTTCAGTTAGGTAAGAAAATTAAGGCCATTAGATCTGATCGTGGTGGTGAATACTATGGTAGATCTGATGGATCAGGTGAACAACGTCCAGGGCCCTTTGCGATCTTCCTAAAGGAGTGTGGAATCGTCCCGCAATACACAATGCTAGGTAAACCTAGCATGAATGGTGTTGCGGAAAGGCGAAACCGGACTCTTAAAGACATGGTGAGGAGTATGCTTAGTCATTCTTCATTGCCAGAATCACTTTGGGGAGAAGCACTAAAGACTGCAGTTTATATCCTTAATAGGGTTCCCAGCAAAGCAGTGACAATAACCCCTTATGAGCTATGGAATGGAAAGAAACCTAGCATAAGGCATTTACACATTTGGGGTTGTCCAGCAAAAGCAAGGCCTTATAGGCCAAATGAAAGAAAGTTGGACTCAAGAACAATCAGCTGCTATTTTGTTGGATATGTTGAACGCTCTCGGGGCTTTAAGTTTTATAATCCCACTACAAGGTCCTTTTTTGGAGACGGGAAATGCCAGATTCCTTGAGGATGTTGAGTTTGGGGGAAGATAAAATAAGGAATGTTGTCTTTGATGAGGAAGAAAATAATATTTCTCTTCCTAATATTGTCATCATTCAAGATGCAATTACGGAACAAGCAATTAATGATCAGGTCCCTGTTCATGACATTGTTATGGAACAGGCTTTGGTCCCTGACATTGCTTTGGGTCAAGACAATAATGAATCACCCCCTATGCCACCTATAGAACAAACTCAACAAACTCAAGAAGTGCCATTAAGGAGATCCACTAGAGAAAGGAGAAATGCAATTCCGGATGATTATATTGTGTTTCTTCAAGAGCATGAAAATATTTTAAGCTTGAAGGAAGATGATCCAATCAACTTCCAACAAGTCTTAGAAAGCTCTAATGCTCATAAATGGATTGATGCCATGAAAGATGAGATGCAATCTATGAAAGACAACGACGTTTGGGATCTTATTGAGTTGCCTAAAGGTGCGAAACCCATTGGTTGTAAATGGATATTTAAAACCAAAAGGGATTAAATGGCAACATCGAAAGATATAAGGCACGTCTAGTTGCTAGAGGTTTCACTCAGAAAGAAGGCATAGACTATAAAGAGACTTTCTCTCCGATTTCTACGAAGGACTCTTTTAGGACAATAATGGCACTTGTAGCTCATTTGGATTTAGAGCTACATCAGATGGACGTAAAGACAATGTTTCTCAATGGTAACATTGATGAGACAATTTATATGGTGCAACCAGAAAACTTTGTATTGAGAGATTCAAAGTCTATGGTTTGCAAGTTGAAAAAGTCCATCTATGGCCTTAAGCAAGCTTCTCGTCAATGGTACCACAAATTCCATCAGGTTATTATCTCTTATGGCTTTGAGGTGAACTTAGTGGAAGATTGTGTGTATCACAAGTTCAGTGGGAGTAAATTCATATTCCTGATACTATATGTTGATGATATCTTACTTGCCAGTAGCGATATAGGCTTATTGCATGAAACCAAGAAACTTCTCACTAAAATTTTTGAGATGAAGGACCTTGGTGATGCATCTTTTGTCTTAGGAATACAGATACTTTGAGATCGCGCTCAAGGTATCCTACGGTTATCACAAAAGGCCTACATTGAAAAGATTTTGGATAGATTTGGCATGAAGGATTGTACGTCAGGAGATACGCCCATATCTAGGGGAGACAAGTTTAGTCTCGCCCAATGCCCTAAAGGTAAGCTTGAGATGATAGAAATGACAAAGGTACCTTATGCTTTGGCAGTAGGAAGCCTTATGTATGCCCAGGTTTGTACTCACCCTGATATAGCATTTATAGTGGGAGCGTTAGGAAGATACTTGAGCAATCCAGGAATGGATCATTGAAAAGCAGCCAAGAGGGATATGCGGTATTTAAAGAGAACAAAAGATTATATGCTTACATATCGGAGGTCAGATGAATTAGAGATCGTCGGATATACTGACTCTGATTTTGTTGGATGCCAAGATAGTAAAAGATCCACGTCAGGTTATGTCTACATGTTGGCTGGAGGAGCTATTTCTTGGAAGAGTGTTAAACAGACACTCGTAGCTTCCTCTACTATGGCCGCTGAATTTGTAGCTTGTTTTGAGGCATTCAACCATGGGGTATGGCTGCAAAACTTTGTCACAAGGCTGCATATAGTAAGTGGTGTTGAAAGGCCACTGAAGATTTATTGTGACAACAGGTCAGCAGTGTTGTACTCCAACAACAACAGAAGCTCTTCAAAATCGAAGTACATCGATATAAAGTTTCTGGTTGTTAAAGAAAGAGTTCAGAGTGGTCAGATTTCCATAGAACACATAGGGACGAACTCCATGCTTGCGGATCCGCTTACTAAAGGCTTAGTGCCTAAGGTCTTTCACGAGCATACTGCTCATATGGGTGTTGTTTTGTTCGATGACACTACGGTTTAGTGGGAGTTCTTTATGTTGGTGTTCTATGTGAATAAATAAATGAAATATTCTTATGTTTGTTTTCTGCAGAATAAAGAATTCAATGATATTTTCCCTCTGAATGTATTATATTTTGTGCTTGTGTTTATGCTTTGTGTATGCAGAAAATTTAGGATTGATCTCATAAAGATTAAAGTAGGACTAGTTGGAAATAGGCATGGTAAGATCACATTGCATGTAATTTCCATGCCACTCATCCATACTTGATCTATGTCATTGAATATATTGGTGCGATGACCATGGAAGGTTTAGTTACGCTTGAAAGTGACAAAAGCCGCCATGATCTCATATTGATATAGGAAGTGGACCAGATTGTATCTAAGGAGGAATCTAAAGAAAAATAGCATACAGTTGCGCACTAAAGATATATGATATAATTATCTCAAGTTAATATGTGGCCCAAGTGGGAGATTGTTAGAAAATTATATTTTCTAATAATTATTGTTGGTCACATATTATATTAATAATTATATTGTGCTATTTATATATATTGGGTAAATTAAAGTGATCAGGTAAATATTCCCAAATAGATTCCTAAGTGAGTATGAGCTGAATGAGTGGATACCGGTGTTGGGCCAACTAGGTATAATGGGAGCTTATTGGCCCAACAATAAAGATAAAAACACTATAAAAGGGTTATGGTCCCCAATACGTCAAATGAACAACCCTAGTTTCTCTTCCCCATCAAGAGAGAGACGGCACACTAAGGAATTCGGTTTTAGGGTAATTTGACTGAGGAAGACTACAAACCCCAAGAGACAAGATCAAAGTTATTCCGCTGCAATGGAGACAGGTATGCCTCCACCTTTATGTTGTTCTTATTTTTCTTTATGATTTGGTATGATGGATCTTGGCTTGTAGGTGATAGTTATCACCATAAAGTTTAGAGGAATTAAAAATTCCAACATAAACCGCTACAATCCCATAGTTACAAACATCACTCAAGTTTCAAAACGCAGCACCAAATTACAGCAAAGTACAGCAACACAAATGGCACACACTTTTTTAAGCTTCAATTAATCTTTTTTTTTTTTTTTTTTTTTTGTAAATAGCTTCAATTAATCTTTGTCAAACACAATAACATCACTGTTCTGTTCAAACTTAATGACATTGAAAAATGAAGCATTTTGAAATCCATCAACACCCAATTGAAAAAGGTGAGACAAAACCATAAAACTCATACACAATTCACATGCAATACCCATTAGAATTCTTAACAGTTACAAACATTCTATGACTCAGTCCTTTACATGTTCATTAATAATTGCGATCGCAGCCTCCAAATCATTACAGGTCTATAAGCTCATCAATTGTCGTGTATAAAACACACCCAGTTATTTAATTGACAACATAACACGAACCCACAAATCAAAGTGGTTTCTTTTTATATATTTTTGAAATGATAAGTCATCTAGTATGCATGGTAATGAAAGTACAATCGAGGGATATAGACCTACTATCCAATTTTAGTTCCTACGTTAGGCTCAACTCACCGTGAGTATTCATCATTGTACTCTATAAAAAAAACACATGTTATTGCCTAACTCAACAAATGATTATTTGGCTCATCATAGCTGGCAAGTTACAATAATATATATAGGGCAAAGACATATGTTACAGGGTTGGAAAATGTAGTTTTATTGACCAGCAAACACGTGAATCAATTGGTAAGAGATTGTTCCAATTTAATCAGTGACTTCGAGTTTAAGTATCTAAAAATACAACTGTGCTAAAATTTGGTACATAAAGGATTAGTGGAGTAATAGATAAACATACGGATAATATAAAAATAAAATTGTAGTTTTATTGAGATATGACATTGAATTGCAAATTATAGCGAGGGCTCCCTTTTAGCATGCGAGAGACGTAGCAGGAAGGTCAGAGAAAAGGAAGAATTTGCAACTGGTTGGTTCACGTTTGGCAACTTGGCTTTAGGACATTATTGGTGTCTGAAGCAAGACCAACCATATATGGTAGGCACGAACTCTTGCTATATGTAATTGAATAATTCTTATTTTTATATATTTATTTTAAAAAAAGTTATATTTATAAATTTTTTATTACATGCTTTTACAAACTCAACTATGTACTATGAGTAATATATGGACTCAAGTGTACTACCTACAGTACATAGTTAAGTTTGTAAATAAAATTTTTGTAAATATAACTCTACCCTTTAAAAACATGTATTATGTTAAACTTTATATATTAATAAGTAATTTTGAATAAATATAATATTTTATTAAAATACTTTATATGAAAAAAAAGTTTAATCTAACGATAAATTTTGAGATTAAAAAATTATTAAATAATATAAAAATAATTGTTATTTATGTCAATATAAATCGAAGCTCATAATTTAGTGATTGGCATATTTGAAGACTTTCACGTTAAGTTTTGGCTCTTGTGTGCTTTTATATTCTAACTATAAAAGATCAGGCAAAATTTTAAAAATTAATTAACAGGTTAAAGTAAAATTAATGCTTCGTAAAATAGGACTGTCTTATTTAATGTAAAGCTTATCTTAACCTATTTTTACATTTACTCATTTTTAACCAAGAATTGATTTGATTTTGAAATAAAATTATTTGTTTTGAAATTTATGATATAAGAATTAATTTGATTTTGAAATGAAATCTTTTGCTTGAAAGTTATAAAATATAAATTTATTTGATTTCAAAATATGTTATTTAATTGTATATATTTAAAGAGAAAAATATTTATCTTTTTAAAGGATATAAAATTATGTCATTTTAATTAAAATTAGTATTTTATTTAATATTTAAATTAAAGAAAAACTAACCCCCACGGGCCAAGGATTTGCTTGGATCATGGGTTCAATATCCTGCCTCAAGCAAATTTTCGAAAAATCTTTGGCGGCCAGAGTAAAGTTGTTAAAATCGAGATTTTAAGTAAAATTGGAAGGGGGTTAAAAAATTGTAACACGTAAAATCGTAATGTAAAAATATCGTAAAATTGTAGTGATAAATCGAGATTTTAACAACCATGGAACAGAGAACTTATCAATAACCTCTCATTTTCTCCCATCATACAACACAATATTGACTAAAATGACATAATTCTATATCATTTAAAACGATAAACATTTTTCCAGTTAAATTTGGTGCTAAACTCTTGGAATTTACTAATTTTTATTTTTTTATAAGAATTTACTAACTTTTGGTTTAAACTTCCGAAGAAGCCAAAATCTAGAAAATGGGCTTGGGTGGTGACACCATTATTATGTATTGAAAATAGTCTTTCCTTTTGTCAAGTCCAAATAGCGTAGAGGCGTGCTTCATGTTTTATTTTATTTTAAGGTTGTAATAATTATATGGGTTTGATGTCTCTCATATTGTAGGAGATGAAGATAAAAATATCTCATACACATATCAAAATATATGAGACTCGTGTAAAGAAAAAAGAGAGAAAAAATGGACTCTACAAACTTTTATATGTGTATAAAAAATAATTTTATCTCCAACAATACAATAAACACCAAACCCTAATTATATATAGCACAAGAAGGGGAATATATATATATATATATATATATATATATATATATATATATATATATATATATGTGTGTGTGTATGTGTGTGTATAGGTAAATATTTCTACAACCACTTTAGATAAGATTATCTACAGCTACTCAAAAATTACGTCTTTTTGATTAATGAATGGTGTTTCTGTAATTTTAAGTGAATTAATGAAGGATGTTTTTATAATTTTACTGAAACACCTTTCATTAATTCACCTAAAATTACAGAAACATCATTCATTAATCAAAACGACGTAGTTTTTGGGATAGTTGTAGATAATATTATTTAAAGTGGTTGTAAAAATATTTTTTTTCATATATATATATATATATATATATATATATATATATATATGAGTTTGTTTTTTATACAATCAATGTAGATAACTTATCTACATAGAGCCCAAAACGACGTTATTTTGAGACAAAAATCAAAGTATTTTTATAATTATAATTTATTTCAGAGTTATAATAGTGTTTTTTATTATTAATTTTTAATTTTTCAATCCACAATAATCAATGTAAAAATATTAAAGTCATATATAAATTTAAAAAAAAAAAATAACTCGACCATTACATTTATTTGGCCATTTTGCGGGATGGTAGGGGCGCCAGGCAGGAGCCAAGACAAAAACAACCATCCAACCACACGCGCAGACCTTGTCGCGTTAACTGAACGCGAGCTGAGCCGGGCACGTTGGGAAATGAACGAGGATTGGATGTGATTGGGTTGGTTCAGTGGGATTATGCATTTCACTATATAATAATCGAATAATCGAAATGGAACCTGTAATGAAATGAAAGCACTGAACTGAACTAACTCTTGACTCGTGTGAGAGAATATCCGCTACGGTTTTGTTTGTTTTCACTCTCTCTCTCGCTCTCTCTAGCATGGAACCGGAATCTGGAGTTTCGACTTCTCGGAATCCTTCTCAGGTTAGGGTTCTTTCTAACATACTCGCTTTAACAGTGTTTTCGATCAATCCAAAACTAGTGAACTGTAATCAAGTCTGAAGTTCTTGCGCTACTGCTACTTGATACGATTCTCCTTGTTTTGATTCAGTTTTAACTGATTTGAATTCAATCACTATCTGTTTTTGCTGTATAAGCATGTTTTAGTTCTTCTATGTTCGTATTCCTTGTCAACGCGTTGGAACAGTGTTCTGCATCTGCTATGATTCGCCACTGTAATACTCAAATCAGCTTCAACAATTCGTTGAAGTGTTTAATTTCAAGTTATGATCGAGTTTATTTTATTATTTATTCATTTATTATTTTTTGTGTTTCATATATCGTTTTATTGAATTTCTTTCTTCTTTGTTTGGTTCTGATATGCAACTTTTTCGATGATATTGGTCGCTGGTTCGTTTTCCTAGTTTTATGTTTACTCGAATCATTAGAATTCAATAGTTGAATTATTTCTTTGGTGCTTTGCAGTTGTCCTGGGTGAATCTCTCTAGGAATCTGTTATTAGCATATCAGAGTTTTGGTGTAGTGTATGGAGATCTGAGCACTTCACCTCTCTATGTCTTTACAAGCACATTCAGAGGAAAGTTACAGAATCACCATGATGAAGAAACTATATTTGGCACGTTTTCATTGATTTTTTGGACCCTTACATTGATACCATTGCTTAAATACGTATTCATCCTATTGAGTGCTGATGACAACGGTGAAGGTATTCCGATGACTTTTTTTTTTCTCTTTCTTTTAAATTCTTTTCTTGTAGAAAGGTTATGAACTGTATAATCTGATTATGATAGACTGTCATCAGGTGGAACATTTGCTCTTTATTCGCTGCTCTGCAGGCATGCCAAGTTTAATTTACTCCCCAATCAACAGGCAGCTGATGAGGAGTTGTCATCCTATAAATATGGCCCCTCATCACAGCCTGTAGCCTCTTCTCCACTGAAGAGGTTTCTGGAAAAGCATAAAAGGTTAAGAACAGCTCTCCTTGTTGTGGTATTGTTTGGTGCCTGCATGGTCATTGGTGATGGTGTGCTTACTCCAGCAATTTCAGGTAAGGTACCCATGTAATTAAAATTTGTTAGTATGATATTCTGGTACAAATTACCCTTAGTATATCAGTGCACAACACTTTTGGTTTGTTTATATGAAGATTGTCTTGCTTCTAATTAGAAATTAACTATTACCCTTATGCTTGCCTTGCAGTTCTAGCATCCGTATCGGGATTACAAGTTACAGAAAAAAAATTAACTGATGGTAAGCAAAATCTCTTTTTTTCTCTTGTGCAGTTCTTATCATTCCTTGTCCAATGCTGAGGGCCTAAATATTAGATTACCATAGCAGTTCCATGTTGTTTACAGGTGAACTTGTCCTGCTTGCCTGTGTCATATTGGTTGGACTGTTTGCTCTCCAACATTGTGGCACTCACAAAGTAGCATTTATGTTTGCACCGATTGTAATCATCTGGCTTGTATCGATATTTTCTGTTGGGCTGTATAATACAATTCATTGGAATCCAAAAATAGTCCGTGCTATATCGCCATACTATATCATCAATTTCTTTGTCAAGACTGGTAAAGAAGGTTGGATTTCTCTTGGAGGGATACTTCTCTGTATCACTGGTACACTAGTTCTATACCTTCATAACAGTTACTTGACATGTATTATAAGTTTATTGGGATATTACGCAGGATGTTCCATAATTCCATTTACTTTATAAATTTAGTTGAGCTTTGACTTACTAGAAGCTGTGATTTTAAGAATTCAGAGGCTAGACTTCACTAACTGCTGATTCTTGTTTTTCCTCACCAGGAACTGAAGCTATGTTTGCAGATCTTGGCCATTTTACTGCTTCATCAATAAGGGTGAGCTTAGCTTGACTGAATTTCATGAATCTGTTATAGAATATGAAGATTCTTGTTGTTTTAGGTGTCGGATTATGTTAGTAGTCTTGTTGGGCTGGGCGTGTACTAGTTGTAATACAGTAGTAAAATACTAGTATAAATAAGGAGTATTTGGTTAGTGTTTTGTTCTATCACATTATGACAGCACCACACAATTATTCAAAGTGTTATTTCTCTTTTCTGTCTTTTACATCTTTTTCTCTATAGTTTTGACATCATTAAATTGATCTTAGTTTTAGAAACAGCTACTTTTCTATAGGGAAGTAAGAATAATTACTGTACATCTACTGCACTAGTGATTATCATGCATTGTTTGGTGTACAAGTGAGAGATTTCTTAATATTTTTCTTCCTTTTGCAGCTCGCATTTGCATTTGTTATATACCCTTGTTTGGTGGTACAGTACATGGGCCAAGCTGCTTTCTTGTCTAAAAACATCAACTCTGTTAATAACAGTTTTTATGACTCAATACCTGGTTAGTTAATCCGACACTGACTTATAAATACTGCAGCCACTGTTTTGTAAATTAATGTAATCCGTGGTTGTTATTGCTTGTCCTCTGCAGGACCTGTGTTTTGGCCTGTTTTTGTTATTGCAACCCTTGCTGCTATTGTTGGGAGTCAAGCTGTTATAACTGCAACTTTTTCCATCATCAAGCAGTGTCATGCTCTTGGTTGCTTTCCACGAGTCAAAGTTGTGCACACCTCAAAACATATATATGGACAGATCTACATCCCAGAAATAAACTGGATACTTATGATTCTAACTCTTGCTATAACCATTGGATTTCGGGACACAACCATGATTGGAAATGCTTATGGTAATTCCCCACCCCTCTCTTCCATCGCAGAAAACCTAGGCCATCTGTCATGTTATTTTGTTTCTCTTATAATGTCTAGTCATATGTTCTACGATTGGCAACATTGTGAAGTTGCACTCTGGTGCCAATTGAGTGTTCACTTGCTTGAGTGCTTTGATTCCCTCCAATTTTGTAGTTGGATTGATAGTTAAAATTGGTCAAAGGCCATAATAGATGCTTCATATGCTCAGTTATTAGCTTGTGGATGTAATAGCAATGATAGGAGAGAAGAGAGAGGGGGGAACTTAGTTTTAAGGTAGAATATCTTAATAGCATCACAAAGATAGTATCCCTAGTTCTTAATGTTCATGTCATCATGTCTCCTAGTTTGGTCATGTATTCCAGTTTATGCTTGTGCTAGTTCGCTAGGAAAATTTAACTTAAAATCTGGTTTTTTCTGCTAAGATTTTTATGAAGAAATGGCAGTTTGAATGTTAGTTTAGCATTGATATGCTCACAAACTTACAAGTGCTTTTGCTTTCAATCTGAGCATTTTTCCAATTTAGACATGAGATAATGAACATGCATTAAGTTTACCCAAAAAAGAACAAAAGATATGCAGTATTGGGGCTGCCAAAGTTGCTTGTGGCACATGATATGTTTGAGTGTTAGAATAAAGGCAGCAAGGAATGGGTTTCTTTGACTTGCATCAGAACTTGTGTGCGCTTTATTAGTCATATTGTAGTTAATTGTTTTTGGTGATTTGGTTTCCAGGACTCGCTTGTATGACGGTTATGTTTGTGACTACATTTCTGATGACACTAGTGGCAATCTTTGTCTGGCAAAAAAGCGTCTTCATTGCTTTAGTTTTTCTTTTATTCTTTTGGGTGATAGAGGGCGTATATCTATCAGCAGCATTCATCAAAGTGCCTCAGGGAGGATGGGTTCCTCTTGTCTTATCCTTCATCTTCATGATTGTTATGTATGTATGGCATTATGGTACTCGTAGGAAGTATAGCTATGATCTGCACAACAAAGTGTCATTGAAATGGTTACTGGGTTTGGGCCCAAGCCTTGGCATTGTCCGTGTCCCAGGGATAGGTCTCATATACTCAGAACTGGCAACAGGAGTACCTGCAATATTTTCCCATTTTGTAACAAATCTTCCTGCATTTCACAAGGTGTTGGTTTTTGTTTGTGTAAAATCAGTTCCTGTTCCATATGTCTCACCTGAAGAACGTTTCCTTATTGGGCGAGTTTGCCCTAGACCATATCGCATGTATAGGTGCATTGTCAGATATGGGTACAAGGACTTTCAAAGGGATGATGGTGACTTTGAGAACCATCTCATACAGAGTATAGCAGAATTTATCCAAATGGAAGCAGTGGAACCACAGTTCTCAAGTTCTGAAGCTTCTTCACTTGATGGGAGGATGGCTGTTATAAGTACTAAAAACCTAGAATCTACTTCAAGCTTAGTAGTTTCTGAGCATGAGGATACTGGCGTGGACATCTCCATCCCTAGCAGCAGATCTGTAACCCTACGAAGTTTGCAATCGGTTTATGATGATGAAAATCCACAAGTTACAAGGCGGCGAGTAAGATTTCAGCTACCTAACAATCCTGGTATGGATCCTGCTGTTAGAGAAGAGCTTTTGGATTTAATTCAAGCTAAGGAAGCCGGAGTTGCATATATAATGGGGCACTCATACGTGAAGGCAAGGAAATCGTCCTCATTCTTGAAAAAGCTCGTCATTGATATTGGGTACTCATTTTTACGGAAGAATTGCAGGGGTCCAGCTGTAGCTCTTAACATTCCTCACATCAGTCTTATCGAAGTTGGAATGATATATTATGTCTAGTTCTTGGTGTAATTTACAACTTATCCTGGTTGAAGGTAACTATGACCTCAGTCGTAGGAAAGTGAGTGTAACGGAGCCTCTCTTAGGCTACTTTTATTTTTGCTTTCGCAGCTCTCTCCCAATGTGTAATTACATAACTTAGTTGTAATAATTTCGTGTTAGAAGATTATTTAGATATCAGAAATATTTCCCTTCTTACTTCCGCGTCCCACTGTTTTCTTTTCGCTTTCTTCTTTTCCGTGTACACATAGGGGGTGTTTGGTTCAAGTTTTTGGAAAGGATTACCGGTAATCCTTCTTTGGTAAATGTAATTACCACGTTTGGTAGAAGGAATAAATTACGATTCCCGGATATCCAAGGATTACCGGTAATTTGATTTATAAAGAAAAGTCACTATTCAGATTACCAAAAATAATATGGTAATTCGGAATACCAATCAGAATACCAAGTAAAGGGAAAGCACAATAATAAATTTTAAGACAAAATACCCCAATACACATAAAAATCTAGACCCAATCTATCAATTACAAAAGTAAAAATAGTTTGGGGTTATTTTTGTAAAATAACCTCATATTCCAAGTCATATTTCGTTCTAAACCAAATATGGAATCAATAATTTTTACCCAGTATTCCCGGTAATATTTTGGCGAACCAAACACATCTTTCGTAAGATTCCAAGTAAACTCAATTTCTACTGAATTCTCATTAATCATGATTCCCGGTCACCAAAAAATTTCTCCTGTACCAAACACACCCACAGTGCATTTTTGGTGAACACGCGAATTTTATTAGAATATTAAGTTTGCACCAATTCTAAGTCCCTAGATATTTTGACAATGCAGATTAGATCAAATATATTTTGTACGCCTCTGAACTCTTTAACGTGTGGGTTTGAATTTCCGTCAATGTCTTGTTAGGTGGTCATTTATTTCAAGATAGATGCTATGGCAACTCAGTCCTTAGAAGCTATTTGTTGGAATTTTCTCTCTATTCAGATAGTAAGGGAAGATTTAGTCTCTCTTTATCTTTAGATAGTTATGGCTATAGAAGATAAGTCAAAAATTGGTCCATGGTATCCCACTAATCCAACAAGTTCAGCAATTATTCATGCATCATCTAAGTAACAAGAGTAAGAGTTTAAAAACACAATAAAATAGTTGTTCAAAACAAAAAAACAAAAAACACAATAAAATTAAGTTCGGAAGAGCAACCAAAGGCATAGCAATGGGAGTAAATTCATCTACTGCAGGATTAGATCCCACAACCTAAATTTAAGAAACATGCATTCTATCATTTTAGCTAGTTATTGTAATATTAAATTTGAATATCGTGTCTCCTTTCGTCCTTTCCACCTTTGTCATGGTGCTTTTATCTATCGTGTAATTGCCACTGATTATAAGGTTGGGTGCTGCTTTAATTAAGAACATCTATGATTTATGATCTTTTTGGCTTTTAGCATTTAATTGTAATCAACATTAATTGTTATTTTATGCACTTAACTGCAATTAATCCGAGACGCGGTTACTATAGCGTTCAATTTTTTTGTTATCCTGTTGTGCATAGTGTGTTGATATAACATTTAATGTATTATCATTAAACAGCGATCGTAATTGCTAATTTGCTATTGTGGTATCGCAACAGTATGTATTTTTTGTGCCATACATTTTGTGCCCTTATTCATGGTGATATAATTGACATATTGGCCATTGGTATTGTGTGTGTGAGATGGCTTTTTTTATTGCAAGGTTGGTAGTTTTGCATTTTGCCAGTTGAGTTATAGGGTGTAATATATTTCATGTTAAGATAAATTTATCTTTTACATACATATAAAAGTGTATGTGGCCTATATTTTCTCTTTGTCTCTTTTTCTCATATGGCTTCACATGGACCACATACATTTTTATGTATGTAATTTATCTACTACAATACGAGAAACATTAAACCTGAATTATATGACCTTTTGGCATGTATTCATCTGGCTTTGTTATTATTCATGTATTTATGTACTAAGATGAAAAATAAAAATACATAATATTTAATATTGTTGCATATGTTTTATAGCAATAATTTGGGCCTTTTGCCCCTCATTAATTAATTAATAACCAATTTGCCCCTTCTCTAGAACTATCAATCATCCTGCCCCCATTTAGACGATTAAGGTGAAGATGTAGTCGACTAAATTGACAAAATACAGGAAATATGAATCCCGAAATTTAATCGACTACAACACCATCTTGATCGATTAAATTTCGGGGAGATTTAATCGACTAAAAATGCTTATTTAGTCGATTAAATTGCACAGGAACAGTTTTTTAAAAAAAAAAAACCATTTCGCAAAGGGGCTTATTTTCAAACTCTAGTCGATTAACAGCCCCCAAAATACCACCTCTTCAAGAGCCGACCGAATCCCCTCCCCCTGGTCGTCCGATTGCAATTCAAAACTATCCACCTTGTGAAAATAACATTGTAGGTAACATTTTGCCACTTGCATTGTGTTTTAAGTTTTGGTTTTTTTTTTCTCCTATACATGATATTGTTTCTGTTGTTTTTTTTTTCTGTTTTATGGTAGAACGTTGTTTGAGTTTTTATGGCTTTATGTTAGGGTTAGGGAGTTGATTTTGATGTTAGGGTTAGAGTTAGGGTTTCTGTTTTATGTTAGGGTTAGGGTTTCTGTTTTATGGTAGGGGTAGGGTAAGTGTTTATGTTTTTATGTTAGGGGTAGGGTTAGGGTTAGGGTTTCTGTTTTATGTTAGGGTTAGGGTTTTGATTTTGATATTGATTTTTGAATTTTTTTGATATTGTGATGGTATCCAATGATTTTTGATATTGTTATTGTCCGAGTTATTGATATTGTTTCCACTTGCATTGTAGGTACGCTTGTTAAAATGGCTGGCCGTAGAAGATCAAGCTGGAATGAAAGTGAGAGACGCACGAAGCAACGACAAGACCGGCCGTCTTCGTCAAGGCCACAAGACGAAGAGCCTGCTACTGTCGACCTCCCATTTGGATACTTGTTTGAGGATGACCCCTCGGTTCATGATGCATTTGTACGTGACCATGTGAACCGACCCTTATGTCCTCCGAAATCATTGGATACAACATTTTTTAACGCGGAGGGATTTCACATTGTGGAGTTGTTGGAGGCAGCACATCTTAGGGTTTTGGCTGAGATGTTGTGTCCGTATTCAGAGCTGATGGTGCGGGCCTTCTACCATAACCTCGGCTACATACAGGGTGAGTTGAGGTCGAGGGTCTGCGGGGTGGACATCATCATGACGGCTCTGGTATGGTTGGAGATACTGGGCTATGACTTTGATTCTTCGCAGACTGTGGAGTATGACGTAGATAGCAGCGTAACACTTCCTGGATATTCCCGAGGTGATGCCGTGGAGGAGGCCATGAGGCCTGATATCGCATGTGGGCAAAACATTCACTACACGGTGGGGTTGCTTAGTGTAGAGGATGCAGGGGAGTGGGCTCATGTGTCAGATGAGGATGACGAGGAGACAGAGACCGAGGAGGAGGAGAATTAGATTTAGGGTTTATGTTTTTTAGTTCATGTTTAGGGTTGATTTATTGTTATGTAATTGCCTTTATATCCTATTTGATGTATTAGGTTTAGGAGCTGAACTATTTCATGTAATGAAGTTGTTATTTCGTTATCGGAATTATTTGTCATTATTTATGCCCTTTCAATGTTTACCAAATGCCTTGAATGGTACTTTTCCACTAACTTGATCACTTTGGTTCAAACCATAGCACAATAGGTCAAAAATGTCCATAGCAACTCAGAACAATCACTAATATGTGTGTAAAATGAATTCACCAAGTTTCGGGGAGCCTAAAACAACGTTTGCAATCAATACGTGCACATTTAGGGAATAGAACGGCCACGTTGGTTTTTTGTATCACAAATTGTGTTCCCCAAGTCATACTAAGACACACCATGAGTGTACAATCACAATCAAGTCAAAAAATTCAGAGGAAAACAGAATGGGGTGCCAAAACTAGTGATTTAATCGATCAACCTCTACTGGTTTCGGGGAGCCTAAAACAACGTTTGCAATCAATACGTGCACATTTAGGGAATAGAACGACCACGTTGGTTTTTTGTATCACAAATTGTGTTCCCCAAGTCATACTAAGACACACCATGAGTGTACAATCACAATCAAGTCAAAAAATTCAGAGGAAAACAGAATGGGGTGCCAAAACTAGTGATTTAATCGATCAACCTCTACTGGTTTAATCGACTACATTTTTTAGTCGATTAAACCAGGTCAGGTTAATCGATTAAATAACTGGTTTTGGCACCCCATTCTGTTTTCCTCGAATTTTTTTGACTTGGTTGCGATTGTACACTCATGGAATACGTTAGTATGACTTGGGAAACACAATTTGTGGTACAAAAAAGCAACGTGGTCGTTCTTATACATTGTTCTGTACGTATTGATTGCAAACGTTGATTTAGGCTCCCCAAAACTTGGTGAATTCATTTTACACACATATTAGTGATTGTTCTGAGTTACTATGGACATTTTTGACCTAATGTGGCTATGGTTTGAACGAAAGTGATCAAGTTAGTGGAAAAGTACCATTCAAGGCATTTGGTAAACATTCCATGTCATCGGTTAAAAATTTGGATTGAAAGCAACATAAAGCAACATACTCCAACATAACGCAACATAGAGTTTACAATACACTGTCACATAAAAGAAATACATGAACTAAACCATAAACACATTCACCGCCTCCCATGGTGTCGACTAACATCAAGTTCAGAAATACATGCACAACATTGGTTTAACTATGTCTAATCCTCATAGGACATGTACGTTTATTGTGACCAATTTGTTTGCAGGTGCTACATCTACTCTGACTGCTTGTGGGTTGAGACTCAACCCAATCCATCTCATTCTGTATCCTTGAAGACTTCGGTCTTCCTTGTGCACGTACAAAAGATGCATTTGGGATAATAGTTGGACCATCTATTTGTGGAATCAACAACTCATTACCCATTGGATACCAATGTGCAACATAGACCTTCTCAATTTGTGAAATTGAAAACACATGATCGACATAGTCATAGTGGTTCAATTTTTCTACCTTGCACACCGCTAACACGTGACTGCAAGGAAATCTTCTAGCTGTGAACCGTCCACTTTGACATTTACAATTGAGCAAGTCCA